TACATTGCTTAGGCAAGGCTTCAAGTGGTTTGGACAAGAGACGAGGAAAATACAGGGGCATTGGCGAAAATGAGCTTTTTTTAGAAAAAATGATCCGCGCCTTCAAGTTATGTTCCGCAGATGGCTGTAAAAGCTCAGATAATGTACTGAAGGATGTGAAACACATCTTATATCCTCTTATACCTTCCCTATAATCCAGGTATAAGATGGGTAGTATAAGACAGCTTTGTCATGAGAGTCTTTTAAAATTTGGGACATGAACTATACTCGCCCGCACCGGCCGGCTTTTGGCACCCCCCGTTCCCTGGGTCGTTCCCTCGATACTAACGTCCTAGCGGCAGTGATGATAATAATAGGATGGAATGACACAGCAGTTTTTTTAAAAAGGACCTACCCTGCCCCAACGCGAGCATATGTACTGCATGTATGTAATATATACAAGATCTGCTACTACTAAATACTACTCGCATCGCCAAATGCAAGATTTTGGGAGCCCTGTAAATGTAACCTAATTTTATAATTTCAGAAACAACATTAAGTACACCTTAAATTGTACCTTAGATATTTTTTGTCAGGACATCTGAAATTGAAGCTGAATACACTGGATTAAGTTACAACTTCAGGAGGTCCGAATCTTCCAATGTAAGTAACAATTTCTCAACAACTGAATTTGCACCTTAAATTATATGTTTTGGTTGTATATTCATCATGTCTGAAATTAATAATTTAAGTATGCCCAAAAATGAGACTGAAACCAACAGTTTCAGTTACCCATAAGTTGTTCCCAAAACTACCAGTTTCAGGAGCACTGAAACTAGCATTGAAAACAATAAATTCGGCTGGCCTTCTGGTCTGCCTGAAACAATAAGATTAAGGTGGAGCCTCGGCTGTTCCCGAAATGTGGCCTGAAAGTAATAATTTCAGTGTGCCGGAAATTCTTCTGCAGATGAGCGGTGGATCATCCACCACTCATCTGCAGATCATCCGTAGGTATTCTTTTGCTCACCGGAAACATGGAACAGCTCATACACGGTATGAAGAATACTTTGTACAATGCAATGTGTGAATATCATTATGTAACACTCCCACTGTGAAGCAATTTGTATGGCACCACCGCCAAGCACTATGCCTAGGGATGATCTGCAGATGAGCAGCAGATGATCTACCACTCATCTGCAGATGGATTTCGGGCATGCTGAATTTTACAGTTTCATGTGCAGATTTGGGAATGGCCGAAACTGCGCCCAAAACTTATTGTTTCGGGTGAACCGAAACACTGGCCGAACTTATTGTTTTCAGTGCTGTTTTGGGTGCATCCTAAATTTTTAATTACAGCTAATGTCAGTACCGAAGGTGCGGCGAAAAAATTCCCATTTTGGTCAGATTTTGATTGAATTCAAAGAATTGCTTGTAACTGGACGAATTCTACATGTATTGACTTAAAAAGTAGATAGAATTGACAGGTTAATTCATATGCAATTAGTGATAGAGCTAAAGTAGTGAAAATATTATATTTTTGGGTGTCTTGAGAAAGTCAGAGTTTCAGGTGAGAATATGGGCTGGCATGCCCAAATCACATCCAAATGAGCTACATTTTTTGTAGGGGCTGTTTGTAACTACCCCGTCAATTTCATAGAGTCAGAATAGCTAATCTACCACAGAGCACAGGTATATAAGCACATTTTATCCCATTTTATCTGAAATTGGTTTCAATGAGCTACAAAGCTTAGGGGAAAGTTTATACGCGGTTCTGGCTCTATGACATTTACAGGAGTACTTAAAAACATCCCCTACCAAAAATCAAGCTCATTTTGATGTGATTTGGGCATGCCAGCCCATATTCTCACCTGAAACTCTGACTTTCTCCAGACACCCAAAAATATAATATTTTCACTACTTTAGCTCTATCACTGATTGCTTATGAATTAGCCTGTCAATTCTATACATTTTTTAGGTCAATACATGTAGAACTCGTCCAGTTACAAGCAATGCTTTGAATTCGATCAAAATGGGAATTTTTTCGCCGCACCTTCGGTACTGACATTAGCTGTAAGCTGCCACTGAAACTGGTAACTTCAGTCTTGAATTAGGGCCCCTGTAATTTTTTACTTTCAGCTCTGATAAAACTGCAACTGAAATTTGTAATTTACAGCTAATAACAGTACCGAGGGCGCGGATGAAGAAATTCCCGTTTTGGGATATTTTTGATCCCTGCAACCGATTTGCCCATAGCTCAACGAGTATTGCGTCAATTGACATAAAAACTATATAGGAATGACCGCCTAATCCATGTGCAATTAGTGATAGAGCTAAAGTAGAAAATAAATAATATCTTCAGGTGTCTTGAGAGACTAGGACTTCTGAGAATTTGAGCTAGCATGCCCAAATCAGATCCAAATGAGTTGAAATTTTGAGAGGGAGTGTTTATAACTACTCCAGCCAATGTCATAGAGCCAGAATTGTGTATAAGAAATTCCCTCAGCTTTGTAGCCCTCTGATACCAATTTCAGTTCAATTGAGGGCTACAAAGCTGGAGGAACGCAATTCTGGCTCTATGACATCGACTGGAGTAGTTACAAACACTCCCTCCCAAAATTTCAACTCATTTGGATCTGATTTGGGCATGCTAGCCCAGATTCTCACTCAGAAGTCCTAGTTTCTCAAGACACCTGAAGATAGAATTTATTTTCTACTTTAGCTCTATCACTAATTGCGCATAGATTAGGCGGTCATTCCTATATAGTTTTTATGTCAATTGACGCAATACTCGTTGAGCTATGGGCAAATCGGTCGCGGGGATCAAAAAATATCCCAAAACGGGAATTTCTTCACCCGCGCCCTCGGTACTGTTATTAGCTGTAAAGCCACTGGGAGCTCAAACATCACGCAATCCCGCGCACTCCAGAGGACAGTTTGCCAAGGACCAATGGAGGACAATGGAGCATTAATTGAGAGCGTTTGGCACCCGCAGGCAGGCCTAAGTTAGCAGGTAGCACAAGGGAGCAGTTAACGACGCTGCCAACTAAGAATAGCTGTTATTCGTCACGTCACGGCAGAAGCGGCATTACGGCGGCAGCGGCATTACAACGGTGCACCGCCCCTGCATACAGGATCTGAGCAGGCGCGGACGTACACAGTCGTTGAGGGCCGTAGGTAGACCGCGTTAGACAGAACACGGCGGCTATGAGCGTCTAGCTGCGCCGAGCTGCGCCTAGTGATCCTAGGCGCACCTCGGGAGATGCCGTCTAACTGGCTCGGCGCAGGCCCCTGCCTAGTTGTCGGCTACTGCAGTCGAGCAATACAGACTGAAGCTGCGCTTAGGAAGGGCCTGAACGCAGTGAGTAGTTAAGCAATGTCCGAAGAAAAGCGGTCGTCCCTCCGGTGCATGTTAAAAATGCGACTGACATGTCCCTGTGCTTCCAGAATATTCAAGCGCATAGATCTGTCTGTATCACATGTCTTCCAACTTTAGCAGATGACTGAGAATTTTTATCGCCCATCTGGAATAAAAACGACCTGAATATCATCTGTTGATGCGATCAAACTGAATGAAACAAATGGTCGGCAGGCCCACCACACTCACCCTACAGGCTGGAAAAATCTGGAAGCACTCTGGACCTTCATAATACACTCAAATAAGTGTTTCCCGTTCGTTCCGGAAGTGTCCTTGCCTTAGTGAATGTCTTACCATCAATTGCACAGTTTCGTGCCTCTAACATAGTATTATGATGTTTCCTGCAGTTCTTTCCCGCCTTAAGGGACGTAACCGTGACGGGCGGATCAATATCAACACATCAATGCGCAGCTGAGGCTGCAGCATCCGCGCCCTCGCTCACAGAGACCGAGATAACACCAATTCGAGCTCGATGTCTTTATTTTGATTATGCCGCACCTCATAGTTAGTTACTTTTCCTTGGACTCAATAATCAGCACGTCCTTGCAGCTTTAAATTAGCGCATTGGAACTCTCTCTGCCAAAGGCACCGAGAAAGTGCAGGGCTTCGGAAGTACTCACTGCGGCTGCAAGACAGCCATTAACTTGCCCCAATCTAGTTCTCAATGCTCCAACTTCGATCGAAGATGCTCAGAACTCTGCACAATTGGTGGACAAAAAAAAAATGGCTTTAAGACATGGTCGAGTCAACAGAGAGGTTGCAGTTGCTTCACATAATATTTGAATGACGGAAGGACGAATCACCGTGTATTAAATCTGCCCCAGGCTAATTATGGTGAAGACTCAGGCATCACGAGGCTTTAACCTCAGTAATGCTCTCAACTCACCAAGTGGCCGTGGAAGTTTTGCGCTATACAGACCATGCGAACCAGCCGGTGCACCCACTATTGCACTCGTAGCTAATTGTGGCATGATTTCCTCCAAAGATTCAATTCAATTTCTGTGTGGTGTGCGACAACTCCTGATACAAATAATTGGTCTCTCATATTCTCTGCTGATTTTTTCTTTGCTTCTTTATAGTTCCTTAGATCTACCGCGGCGGCTTAGCGTGTCCGTGAGCTCGTCTCTGGTGCTATGGAGGAGTCCAGGGGCAATAGTGTACTCTGGTGCATGTACACTTAGATAATCCCTGGGAACCGGTGTTCCTCAGCGGGACCATGCCGTGTAATGCTACCTACCTACCTACCTACCTCCAAATTTGACGCACGCCATCTTCATACATTGCATTCCATCCTGGAAGTACCAAATTCTAGGTCTTTGCATCCCACCAGCTTATATTCTGCAAGTGGCCCACTAGGGGGTCTCAGATAATACACCGCTGCATCCTATTCATGCATATTCATCTGCACATTAGATACGTGCTATTCGCACCGCGTCGCAGAAAAATCCTGAATTGAATTCTTGAATTAATATTACGGGATATCCAGCCCATCCGGCTCAATTCTTCCACCGTAAGGTAAGCCGGCACGATAGCCTCGGTCTCATGTGGCCCGAGTGCAAAGATGGTTTATTACCTGGGAGAAATGAGAAAAAAAAAGTGAAAAGCAAGACACAGCCCCGAATCGAACGGGGATCACCAGCTTAAAGAAACGAAACTTGCAATGCAAGCTGGAGTGTTAGTGTTCCACCACTGCACCTTATTCACATTCATCCGCACATTTGATACATACTGGGTGACTTCCTGTCAGCCAAAAATAATCCAGCTGAATATATTAACTATTTCCGCCAGGATGCCGATGGTGCCATCAGGACCCCATCGGACAGAGATCTCACTTAGACCCTCGATTAACCATGTATAAATTGTGAATCTAGACCAGGGGTACCCCCCCCCTCAAATAGATTTAAGAATGCATGAATAAACTGTTTTGGGATGTCGAATGATGTTATGGCAGTGTTCATTGCTCCGCTGGGCTCTCATCATGGCCTCCGGTTGGTAGGATATATATTGGTGGCGGCGGGCCGTTTCCAACAGTGGAGACGTCGGCACGGGGAATGGGAAGGAGCTGGGGCCGGCAGAGATGGAGGCGGCTCTGCTGCTTATGTTCTGCAAGAAGGACACGTGTCTGTTCTGCCCTGACACAAGTCACAGCAGCTGCAGCTGCTGCCATATCCCAATCGGTTCATCATCTTCCATGTCGCCAGCCATTGGTGTAAAAAGTACGCATCGATATCCATTGACGGCCTTGCGAGGGATGACGCATTGTTCAATGTTTGGTTGTTGTTTTGACACACGTCTATTCCAAATAATGTCGAAGTAATCTGAAGTGTTCTAACGGGAATGGAAAGTGAATATAATATCTTGGTATATACATAGTCGACATCACTGGCACCGCTCGGAAATGTTGCAGGAATATATTTATGTTATGGGAAGTCACCCACTATTCGCACCGCGGCGCAGAAAAATCCCGAATTGATTCTTGAATTAATACTACGGTGCCGCAAATTTAATTTCCCGGCTATAAGAAGCTTCTCTTAGCCGAGCTTAGCAATGGCTTATAATAGACCGTGGATATTAATAAATCGTTATAATGTGAGTGCCCGCATTTTGTTTTACCGTTTGAGAACGGTACAAGCAACAGACCTACAGTTTGCTGCATCCAGATTATCTCTAGGCACATAGGTTTCACTTCCGGAGGTACCACAACACCAATTTCTCTTTCCTTCGCAAAAAAACACTGCGACTTATCGGGGATCTTTATTCAGATAAACTCTGATAAGGGTCACAGCTCTTACGGCACTGTAAGGCCTTAGCGCCGCTTACGGTGTCAAACTAAAGTTTGCGACAGGGATATCGAGCTTAGGGTCTCAGAGTTAGGGTCTTGTATATAATTCCCGAGCAATTAAAAACCGGTTTACAAACTTTGTTTATAAACAGCCTGTTTATAAACGTGTTTACAAACAACCCGGCTAAAATACGATTTTTTCGGCTGCAGCATCCTGAACCTTCTTCCTCGCGGCTCTCCTGCCGCTAGGAGTGTTGACTATACCAACGCCGGTTCAGTCCGCCAGGCTCCTGATCGAATTACCACTTTCGTCTTGTCAGAGAGTCTTCGGATCTGGTTTGTAACCAAAGAAGTTGTGGGTTTCGCCTATTGGAATGGTGTGCAGCAAGACCTTGAGACGCAGCAGGTATTTCAGTTGCTCATAATAGACGGTGACACGGAGCTGAACATTGTGCAGGACGTGTTGATTGCCGCCAGTCCGCAGCCGGAATAAGCCGGAATGTAATTAAAAACCGACCATTTTGCTCTAACCAATTAAAAACCGGTTTATAAACGCGTGTTTATAAACCGGTATACATACATGAATTAAATACAAGACCCTAACGATTCGAGCTCATCCGCCTCAGTTCTTCCACTGTAACTTTAGCTGGCACGATGGCTGTTCCACCATTCCTTTGACCATGTCACCCCGAGTACAAGGATGATTCATATATCAATTAGGAAATATGAGCTGCATAAAACAAAAACTAAAAACTAAAAAGCGAAAAAATAAAACAGTAACGCAGCCCCAAGTTGAACGGGGATCGCCAGCCTACCGTACACCGAAGTTGCAATGCAAGTTGGAGGGTTTCCACTACACCACTGTGCCCTATACGTATTTATTCAAAGTCCATCTACATGTCCGATATGTATGTACCATCCACTTGCTACTAATCCGCACCGCGTCGCAGAAAATCAACACGAATCAGCCGGAATTAGCACGTAGTACATACCTGCCTCCATCGGCACTTAACAGCACCCACAATCTCAACCGACGCAGGTTCGATACCGCGCATAACGTGCGGTTGCGGAACTTGACCAACGTAAGAAGAAGAAAAAAGAATGACCCAGCCCCAAGTCGAACGGAGATCGACAGCCTAACTCCATGATGATATCTAACCATATGCTGGTATGCTTCCGTTACACCACCGAGTCCTTCCAGGATTATCTCAACATCGAATGGTATGAGCAATTTTGACCCAGCCCCGAGTCGAATAGGAATCACCTTACTAGCGTTATTCAATAGTTGAATGCAAGCTGGAGTGTTTCCGTTCCACCACCGAGTCCTTGTACACTTGTCTTAACATGGATAAGAATTGCCTGCCCCACAATTCTGTTCAACCCGCTTTAACAAGTATTATAATATCCATTACACCACTGCGTCAATAGCTCGTACTTACCAGTTCGACGCGGAAGCTCGCGGAAATTATTATGCAGCAAATCAAATAAATAAAAAAGAACAGAAGCCGAACGTATGACCCAGCCCCGAGTCGAACGGGGATCACCAGCTTAAGTACTTCGGGGAATGACCAGGATCGGCTGGAGTTTTGTCGATTACACCACCGAGTCTCATTCACAATAAGCAGCCTCGAGACCAAGTAATACTGGCAATTCGAGGTCGCAGACTTTTGAGCCACTTTCAGTGACGGAGTGAAATAAAAATAAGTGTTAACCTAGCCTTGAATCAGACAGGGACCCCAGCTCACTTCATACCAGTAGGCTGGGTATTTCCACTGGGTCATGTTCTTTTAACTAAAGTTCAAGTAATGGCCTCGGTTTTTAAGTTCAAAGAGGAGAGTAAAAAATGAAATGAAATAAAATGAATGATAGGCCAACCCCGAGTCGAACGGGTTCACAGCGAGCGGAGTGGGGCCACATGGCAAACATAGAATTGGGAAAATGAGCATAATGAAATCAGGAACGCAACTAAATCAGTGCTGGCAGCGGTAGGACTGGAGATGAATAAGACCCTCGCTAACGAGACGGATAAAAAAAGCGTGATGTCAGATTCCGAACTATAAAATCGTAGTCAGTTTGTGCAGGACGTCGTGAATAAAATCCGCACAGGTATGGCGCGTATAATGAAGCACGTTTCGAGCATGGAGAAGTGGCAAATGGGTTTTAAACCCCACAAATGCAACGTCTGGAGCATCAAAGCCCTGGAATTCGACACAGCGGAGAGATGGAAAGGGATGATTGGCGATGAGGGGATCTATTCCAATGAGCAATGGGTTGAGTTCGCGGAGGCTGATGGGTTTGAGGCGGAAGACAATGGCCTCGATTCGGGTGTCTGCTGGCAAGCGCGAAATGGCGATTTGAAGATGCCAAAGCGCGTCGCCCGACACGGAGATTTCAAGCCGTGTTAATGCTGTGAACTTGTAAAGAGGGAGCCGCACGGCCATACCTGACGGGGGCATTTGTAATTGTAAAACGTGAGCACAGATGGCGCACCACTGTCGACGCCCAACCGTGTGATGGTCTCGCGGGATGGGTTGATCAAGGCAATCGCTTCATTAGATGCAAATTCCGTTTCTTCCACCGCGACATCGACGAGCTTGGATAGGTCGAGAGGACACGAGGGCGAAATGAGCCATTGAATGATCGACGGGTCTTCATCCCACCTGCAGAGCTCTAGCTTCTGAATCATCGCCCTCCGCTGTCTCGGGAAAGGGACTGTTATGTTGGAGGAGGCAGGGCTGAAAGTGACAATATGAAACATGAGTTCCATAATTTCCGGCGAAGAAGTCTCGAAGATGGCGGCCAGAAGGTCGGCACTCAAAGTGCTGGGCCTCCCCAGGAAGCCAACCGAACGGATTGACGGCAGGCCCGTAAAATGGCGGACGAGATCGGGATGAGGAACGTCCCCGATTTCTTGGAAGTATATGTCGCGCAGGTGGGAGAAGGGTATCTTCGACAACGGTGCCAAGAGCTCGGGCTTTACACGTGTGCTGAGACGGCGAATGTATTTTATGAGGTAGGGCGAATGTGTCACGACGGCGCAGAGCCGGCCACAAGCTGCGATGGCGTCGAAAGGTCGATCAGAACCAACCGTTATAGAGTCGTAATGGAGGAAGACATCGTGAAAGATATGAGGCTGAGCGGAGGAACAGAAGGCAGAGGAAACGAGCGCGGCGGAGTTCAGGTCTCTGGAAGATTCCCCGGCCGCAAGGTGGGATATAATCCTGTCGCAGAGTTCTTGAATGTTAAAAGGTGTCATCACGGTGAATTGCAGTGACGGAGAGAACCACGTTGCGACAGCGTGTGTACGCAGGTTTGGCAGCAGCATTGATGGATTAGTCAGTAGTACGCATGTGTATCCAGGCAGATCTCTCTTGCTTCATCCCTTGCATCGCGACATTGCGGGATCGTCTAGTGGCCACCAATAGCACATCCAGAGACACTACCCCAACGTAAATGTGGGGAAAAACCGACTCGGGCGTGAGACAGTCGTCGGCTCTTTCCCCCCGCATTGATCCGTTCAGTCGCTGCCAAACGACTGTGGCGATGTTCTTCAAGTTCAACTTCGTTTTGACTTCGTTTTGCGTTTGCCATTCGTACTTCGGACGCTAATGAACCACGAAAGTACTGTAGTTTTTCAGCATCGTTGTCTCCAGTCAATTTAATTGGTTTTTATTTCATTCTACTGGGTATCAACAGGGACAAACAACAAAAAGAATTCAAAAAAGGAAGGAAGAAGGGAGAGTTCAAGAGAACTCGGGGAAATCTCAGGGAACCTACGACTTTTTACTTTGAATCATCGTCGCAGCGACCACACATCATTTATTCATAATCAAACAGCTTATGGTGAACAATGCATTAGTTGCACGTCGTATCGTTGCACGTCGTATCTGTTGAGAGAACAAACATTTTCACGA